TCAATTTTTCCCTACAATTTAAAGCACCAATGTGTAGAGATCTTAATTTGCAGGTATTCATAAGTGAGAGTAAATTTATAAACAAAACATAGTTTACAATAAGTTACATATGTGGAATGAAAATAATCTTTTAACTAAGCAACTACGCTTTGATGATAAAATAAATAGAAAATGATGACATTCTAATAAAGTAAACCACATGAGCGTTCAAGATTTAAATACATAACTCAAGAACCAACAGGTTAGTGCAAGGCCTTAATGCATAGCGTTTGATTAGACCGCAAACAAAAAAGAAAAAACAACTTAAAAATACAAATAGGCCGAGCTACTTCGGCTTTGAGGGTTTTGTTGGTTAGATTTTAGCCACACTGACCATCGCAATTTTACACAAAATATTGGCGCACGCTAGATAAAATTTGAGTAAATTAAGCGGTTTGATAGAAAGAGTAATTTCAACATCTGACAGAGTACAGAAAAAGATGTTCTAATTCAGCAGGGATTACTGAAAGCGTTGTATGTAAAGAAGCCAGAGAATATGAAAGATGAAGATCGGGAAGAATTGAAAACGAGAGCTATAAGTACTATTCATTTAAGTTTGGCTTTCGAATTGAACTATAGTGTTATGAATGAGACACGGTAAGTACTATTCGTTTAGTTTTGTTCATGAATTAAAATATAGTGTTATGAATGAGACATATCTTTTTGAGTTATGAAAAAAATTAAAAAAATTTATATGTCGAAATCCCTAACAAATAGACTATATTTAAAGAAGCAATTGTATCAATTGAAGATAGATGACGAAACTGATGTTGGAAATCATATAAATAATTTTAATAAGTGCATAACTCAATTATTAAGTGTAGAGATCAAATTTGATAAGGAAGATAAAGCGGTAATTTTGTTGGCCTCCCTACCCAAATCATATCAGACTTTAGTTTTATGCAAGTCAAGAAAGATGATTTAGTCGCCACGAAGGATGAAAAAGTAAAAAAGAACTTGTAACAACTTATTGGGACTACAGTTGTAGGTGGAGCTGTGAAGGTGGAATCAAGCCACGAAAAGTCTTATTCTGTTGTGAAAGAAGTTGCAAGAGTAAAAGAGTACAACGAGATGTTGATGACAGGTGAAGACAATAAAGACAAGATGATGAAGATGCTTTGAAGAAGAAGAAGAAGAAGAAAACAATGTCACGTGTTAAGTTTGATGAGAGTTTAAACTTGACACATGTTTATTATTGTTGAAGTTTGTATTGTTGTCAACCCATCCACGAGGGGTGCGATGATGAGTGTCGAGATCGGATACCTAAGGTTATTTTTTTTGTAAGTTGAGAGAATTTGAGTCAATGTGTAGATTGTTGGATAAGTGCCTCATATTAGTTTTAAAAAAGTTACTTTTTTTTTTTGTTTTTGGGCAAGGCTTATAATTAGGAGTCTATAAATAAGTGCTATGTATAAGACTTTATGTGTACTAAGAGAAAAGAGTACCTCCTTTTGAGAAAGAGAGAAAAGTGAAGAGAGATATAGGCAATGATGTAAGGGTTTTGGGTAGAGAGAGAAAGAGAGAATGTTTGTTCAATGTGTAATTCTGAAACTGTTAGTGAATTTTTCTCCCTCTCTTGTAGACGTAGAAAATTTTTCTGAACTACCTAAATCTTGGTCCTCTTTGTTTTTCTATTATTTTTATTTCTGTTTATATTTCTGGTGCGTGGGTATAAGAGTGTTTTTCCCCAACGTGATTCATATTCAATTTCTTTGTGAGAAAACTATTGGTGGAAG